TTGCGGGTGGCTTGTAGGTTGTAAGTGCGCAGACCTTGAGACACACGCCGCAGAGTAAAGTTGTTGCCTGTCGCTTCTGGTTGTCACTTGTTAAACGCCGAAGGAGCGTAGGGGAAATCAGTATTAATTACTCGGACGGACACATGTTGGCCGTCAGTGAACCATAAATGGCTGAAGGGATTAACAAGCTCAAGTTGCTATACGTCCACACTTAATGCGCAGTAGAAATATCCACTAAGGATTTTACAATTATGTCGTATACTGAAGGCTATCCAGATTTAATCCCTATAAAAGTATTATTATTATCGGTTTAATCGACTAGAACTCCTAGAAACAAAGACTACGATGAAATATAATGTAATTAACCATAATTAGATGTAAGTACAAAAAAGTTTATAAATCACCCCAGAGAATAACCTTTGGGGATTTTGCAAGATTAAAGACCAAAACCAGCTGAGAATAAATTGGGAAATCAACTTTCTGGTATAAGACCCTCCCCACTTTGTTTAGAACTCTGTCGCCTAATGACCAAGTAATTCGCTCTGCTGAACGTAGCAGAAATGTGATTGATGCAGTGCATCTTCCCTTTCCCGGTTTCCCCCGAAACAAAACTTTGCCCTATTGACTCTCCTAATGCGATTGGGAAACTGTGCGGCTGCCGCAATTGACGAATCTGGGACAAAATCAAAAGTTACTCTTTGCTCCTTGACTTGTCGACAATGCAACCACAGCCAGAATGTTAGAAACCGAATCCAAAACCGAATCTAAATCCGAATCCCGAAGGTCTAAAGTCGCAGCCGCAAGCCGCAATGCGCTGTCTATCAACATTTTAAGCTAATTAACGCACTGGGTATAGCCAGTAAAAGGGGCGTTGGAGGGGGCGTGGTTAAGCCTAGGGCGGTGGTCGTGGGTTGGCTTTTCTGGTATGGCAGCCACATCAAATGTGCGAAGGAAAATGAAATTATTACTTGGCATGCGGCACAGAGCGACTAATTGACAAATGGATAATGCTAATCCCTGAACGCCTACACAGGCAGAAAAAAGTATGGATGCTTGGTAAAAGTGGGAAACGGACAAGGGACCACGGACAACGGACAGCGGACAACGGACATAGAACTATATATAGTAAGGAGCAACAAGTGTGCTTAAGGAATAAACCAGTGGAATGGAACAGCAATGCAGCAATGCAGCTTTGCAATCCCCAGAGAAAGAGTTCAAACCCCCCTGATTCTTTCACTCGATACAGCCAGACACTAGTGGTTCCTGGAGAAGGGAAAACAGACTACGAACTGGGCCGCACATGTGACTGGCATGTAGACGTAGATAAAACCCTCCGAGGGCAAGAAACTACTAATGTTGGCAAGTCAAAGTGGGCAACAGGGGGGCATACATAGGGGTATAAACGGGGTATATCTGCCAAATGGCATGTTCAAACAAAATTAGGCGCGCCAACCGGGTCCTTTTGTTCCTGTTGTTGTTCTTGTTATGCAGTACGGGTCATCAAACCAAGCCGGGATTGCAACTGCAATGCTTACAGGGTGTTCCACAGGTCAGGTGAATTACCAAAATAATTATAGTTATTAAAGAAAAAATTAGAGATTCAAAATCGCAGATATAATATGTAAAAGAAAAATTTTCTTATGTGTACACTATTTTATTTTTTTTTCATTATCCTATTACTTCTTAAAAATTTCCAAAATAACTTTGATGTTACACAGAGAAAATTATGCAATGTTTTAGGTGCCGTTTTCATATAAAAACGTTTTAAAAATAAAAATTTGTATGAAACGTTTTACTTTTTAAAATGTTTCACCCCTTATTTTGCACCTACAACTTTTGATAATTTTCTCTGTGTACTTTATCCCGTGGGATATATGGGGGAAAAATATTTGCGTATTCAAAAAGTATGCAACATATGACATTTCATATTTGGATCATTATTTAATTATTTTTGTCCTGATTCCATTAAATTCATAGCCTATTGTGCCCCTTATCATCCCAATCAACGAAATTTTGCTTTAACCAAGAAATAAGCAAATCTATTTCAGTATTCCAATTTAAGTGCGGCTCTTAAGTATTTCTCAGGAAATTACATTTTAGCTGCAAAGGAAAAACAAGCGGCAAGCGCTAAGGGCTGGGTTTACTTTACAGTGGGCCCCCCAAAAAGGAAGCTACCCGTTGACGTCCCGCAAAGTGGCGGGTGATAAGCATTTCAATCATCATTTCATTTTTAAGCAATTTAATTTTTGCCGCTTTTTTGTGTTCTCCCGGCCCCCCGGGCACCCTGTTTTTTTGCTTTGGCCGGGCCATCGCAGTAACGTAAATATTTTTCAGCCAAGTGAAGAAAAATTAGCAACAATAAATTGAACGGAAGTTGCTGCTCAAATTGAAAGTACGAGCGGGGAAGTCGGGGATGGCCAGGGATTCCCCGGAACAGGAACTTGCGAACTGGGAACTGGGAACTTGGGTAAGCCCGGGGGGCGGCTCAGTTGGCGGTGGGCGTGGCATGTTTGTCTGTGGCTGTTACTGCGGCCATACGGTCAACATACACGTAAGCGAATGCGAATATGAATGTGAATGTGAATATATGTATGAGTGTGGCTACGTGCCACTCGTTCTTCGCCTACTTTTCCTTAGCTCCTGACGACTGCCTTCTGTCTAGATTGAAATTCCAGACCAGAGCCAAGAAAGGGGCGTGCCACGCCCACTGCCCAAGCACGGGAAGAAAATCGGGACAATCTAAGCCTAAGTGAGGAATTATAAAATACTACCTTTATACCACAGGTTTTATAGAAACCCATAACGATAAATACAAAATATACCTAATAATAAATATTTGAGTATTATAATCTCCTATTCTATCATTTTGTTATTAGTAGATAAGAACTCTTATCGATAAGCCTAAAAAATAATCAAATAATATTTTAGGGTAAGCTACCAAAAACTGATTTTGATATATATAAACTTGTAGGTTCTTTATGTTCTTAAAAATAAAGAGAAAATTAAATCTATTATGGATTTTTATAGTCTTAATATCAGAAGTATAAATCATTTATCTAGAAGAGGTTTCTCCATTCACTTAAGATTTTAGTGATCAAATTCCCTATACATAATCCAGCTCCAGTTTGTTTCTCGACCTGTAAGGATACATATGTGGTGGCGGAACATTTAAGCTACGACCGCAGGCTGAAGGACGAAAACGGGACAGAGGTTGCATACAGATTTTCAATTTCCATATCGTGTTGCCTGTCTGCAGCCTGCAGCACTTTGTTGCTGCCTGCTTTTCCATAGCTTTTCCAATGCCTTTCCCCCAGCCTTTTCCTTTCGGCAATTTCCGCTGCAAGTGCCGAAACAAAGGAAAGCCAAACATAACAACGCAGCGGCAAAACTAAACGTAACTACAACAACCGCAATAACAAGAAACAAAACAATGAACGAACAATGAAACGACGAATGAATGAGTGAATTGAGTGAGTGGGTGAGTGAGTGAGTGAGGGGAAAAGGCGGCAAGAGTGTCACTTACCAATCGAAATCGTGCAAAAAAGAGCTCGAAATTAAGATGTAATCTGCAAAAGTTATGATAAGAAAAAATGGAAACCATGCGTCATTTTGTGGTATTTTTTTAAAATGAAAATCTTAAAAAATCTTCATTATTATAATATAATTTTAAAAATATTTTTATATTTTGGTTTTGTGATTTTCATTTTTTAAACAGCTACTTTTAGCTCTAGATTTCAGATCAGTGTTACCCAAGCGAAATCATTTAGGCAGTTCTACCTTTTGATTTGACCATTTCATAACGAATTTGGTTTTCACACACCTCACAGCTCCTATTGAAAAGCATAAATTTTTAAGTATTTAAAATGGACGAGAACTGCAACATGGGAAGCCTGGTGCTGCAAGTCCTCCGGGTGGCCGGTAAGCCCCTTACCGCGGGCCAGATAGTCCGCACCATGAGGAAGAGTCTGGGCAGGCGCCTCAAGAGATCGCAGATCGAACAGACTTTGATCAATGGCGTTGGCTGGGGCTTTCTGATCAAGGATAACTACCTCTACTCGTATCCTGATGTCGGACCGAAGGTATGCATGCCCTCGATGTCGAGCCTAGTTCCCTCGATGGGGAACCACAAGTTCGAGGTTCCCTCAACCAGTCAAGCGGGCAATGGAAAACCCAATGAACAGTATTCCAATGCCGTGAATAAAGGTTTCGATTTGGATGACATACAAAGTACATCCCACAAGGCGTTGACCATGAAGGCGAACGGGTTCTTCAGGACCATCGAATCGAAAGATGAGACCATGGATGTGCAGTCTGAAGTGGACGAGGTTGACGAAAGGACCTTTGAGCCGATGGAGGTGGATGATGTTGAGTCCTGTGGCAATTTTTTGCTGACGGAAAAGATCGGCCACACAGACCTGATGCATACAACGTTTTAAGTGTGGAATAAACCTACATTGGTGGAATCCGATTATCGTACCAATCTTCCGACAGATAACCTAAAAGAACTAACAGTATAAATTTGTAGTGGGATATTCATTAAATCACTTGTAACGATTTTGAATAATACATTTTGGCGCTTTTGGAAATATATTATAAAGTATTTCAATCTATTTTACTTGTAAATGATCTGGAGGGCAAAAGGAATTCTTAAGTTTTTTAAAATTTCGAATTTGATTTTTAATACACGGACTGCTAATCTGAAGAAATTAACAGTATACATATGTGATTAGATATTATATTACAAGTAAAGCTTTTTTAAACAATATTTTGGCACTCTTTCAAAAATTATAAAATATTTTAATCTGCAAACTTCTAATAAAATAAGTATGAACAGTAACTATATGTTTATTTGCGGATACTATATAATATTACTTCTAAAGCTTTTTATAAGATATTTTCTAACTCATTAAAATATTATAAAATATTTCAATCTATCTATTATATGATTGAGGAAATTCTTAAAATTACAAATAGGATTTTCTCTTGTTTTTCATTTCAAGGTGGTGAGGATGTCGCCTGCTGAGGAGCTTCGCTTGGTCGGAGGATCGGATGCCTACCAGTTGGCGGCGAGCACTGGAGGCGGCGGCGGCGTTGGAGGAGGAGTCGGAATTGGATCCAGAGGCGGCGCAACCGGAGGAGACTCTGTAGGCGATGAGAAAATGAACGATGTGCACGACAAGTATGCGACGGCGTTGTCCCACTTCCTGGACCTGCACTCCAACGGCACGGTGGACATGGAGCGGCTGAGCGGTCCGATCCTAAAGTCGAGCATCAAATCTGTCTACTGGCTGTTCCTCATGCAGTACGCTGCCCTCGCCCTGCTGGGCGTCGTCCTGAACGTGATCATTGTGGTGTACATCATGTACCACCGACTGTACAAGGATGTGACCCATGCGTTCATCATCAACCTGGCGCTCTGCCACTTCGTCCAGTGCGCCCTCGTTCTGCCCGTCTCCCTGATGGTCATGCTCATCGAGAACTGGATCTTTGGCCAGTTCCTGTGCTTCTTTCTGCCCATGCTGCAGGTGAGTAATAACAAAAAAAAAAAATTAAATGCAAGCTAAAATATTAAATAGAAAACATATTGAATTACTTCATTTCTTCAATAATTGAAATATTAGTTAATTTAATTTAATACAAAATATATTCTTATTAAATCGCTTATTAAAAACATGTATTACAATTTTTCCAAATTTTCATGCATAAAATCAAAGTAAAAATAGTTATATTGAAGAGGAAATAAAATAAAATTTACTACATTTTAATTGAACAGTATAACAATTTCAATTGGTGATGCCATTTGAAAATTAACTGGTTGATTTAAATATTTTAAATGTATTTAAATTAAATACAAAATCTAAATATTAAATACCCTATATATTTTACATGATTTAATAAAAAACAAGAGAGAACGCTATAGTCGGGTTGGTGTCCCGACTATCTAATACCCGTCACTCAGCTAAAGGGAGTGCGAACGCTGTGTCGGGTTGGTGTCCCGACTAATAATCGTAACTCAGCTAAAGGGAGTGCGAGGGAGATAGATATATGTTGACAATTTATAAAGCGTATAACTTTTTAATGAATGGTCCGATTTGAAAAATGTCTTCTACATTTCGATAGGTATAAATATACACAACAAAATTGCATTTATACTTCTCGGAAATCTTTAAAGATGTGGGCGCAGGATCCATTTTAAAATCGTTAGTGGGCGATTGTGGGCGTTAGAGGGGGCGTGGCGCTCGGCTAAAATAAACTTGCGCTGCGTAGGAAGCCAAAGAATATGTGTGGGAAATCTCAACCTTCTAGCTTTTGTAGTTTCTGAGATCTCAGCGTTCATACAGACGGACAGACGGACAGACGGACATGGCTCGATCGACTCGGCTAGTGACCCTGATCAAGAATATATATACTTTATGGGGTCGGAAACGCTTCCTTCTAGCTGTTACATACTTTTGCACGAATCTAGTATACCCTTTTACTCTACGAGTAACGGGTATAATTATTTTAAATACTATATAGGGGAGTGTAGGGTAATTTGACGAGTAGGGTAATGTGACGAACTCGTCGAATCTCACATATGAAAAATGTGATGCGCAAACTAGCAAACCCATTCAATTTACTTGTGTTTCAGCAGTGCCAGAGCAAAGATGAGTGGAAAATAAAATCAGGCAAATATATGCACGTATACACGAGATCTTTATCAACAGTTTTTGGTACCTCGCGTTTTTTTATTTTGCGCCGTTTGAGAGTGACACCGATTTTGCTCCAAGTCTACCTTGTAGGGTATCGTGACGAACTTTTTGTAGGGTATTGAGACGAACTTTTTTTATTCAAGAATTTTAACTGTTATCGTTGATTATTTGTAAAAAAAATATAATAATACCAGATAACATTTACTGCTGCAGTTTTATTGTTGTTTTTAATAGTGACGTCAGTTTAATTAAATTTTAAAAAAATTTGCAATTTGACCATTTTTTTTATTGTAAGTTTGGATATTATCTTATTACTTCTTTCTTTTCCGTATCGAAAATAACTTTTCCGTAAATAATATATAAAAAAATGTATTTTTTTGTTTGCTAAAAGGATGGTTTACACCAAACGCTGTGGAATTTGGCTACGTTGAAATTTCGAATCCAAATTTTTTTAGAAATATGCTCAGTAAATGTAAGTAACTTTCTGCTTTTACACTTTTAAAAAATATTGATTTTTGGAGAAGTTACATTAAAGAACAAATCGTTCGTCACATTACCCTACAACTTTTGAAAGTGCAAAAAAAGAAGGGTTCACGCCAAATGCTGTGGGATTTAGCTGCATTGGAATTTTGAATTTCGAATGCTTAGTAGATGTAAGCAACTTTCTGCGTTTACACTTTTGAAAAATATTGATTTTTAGAAAAGTTACATTCAAAAACCGAATCGTTCGTCACCTTACCCTACACTCCCCTACATAATTAATATATTTTCACATCAAAAACAAAGTAAAAATTCCTCAAGTTAAATAAATTATTCTATTTAATATTACCATATTTAAAATGTATAAAAACAGCACAGGATGAAAATCGCAGTCAAAATATTATAGATTATATTGCAGATTAAGTTAATGGATTCTATACGATAATAATAACATTAAATAGTTGATTTTACCGATTTTATAGATACAGAAGTATAGGTTAACTATCCGGTCTAAGGAGTGCATTAAAGATTTCCCGAACAGGTTTTTGGCACATCTAGCCAGGCCATTGTGTCCTCAGTCCTGTCAGCCCCTGTATTTCCCGGCAATCAGTGTTAACTACAGCTCGGTGCTATATTTATCCCATTTGGCTCTGTGTGCTGAGAAGATGGCATCCGGTTGCGCTCGATTGAGCATCGCCTGCTGCTGGCTGGTGTCCTTTAACACAATATCCCAATACCGCGTGCCGGCTGCCCCAACTCATTACGGAAGCCACCGTGTGATTGACACATACTGGGGAGAATGGGTTCGGGGAGTCAGAAATCAGAAATCAGCAGCAAATAGAATCGTATACTTTCATTCGATTTGATTCGCCTCCGTCTGTCACTTTGCGCCTCTTTTGTGCGGCGAAAACAAATGCGACCAGAGGAAGCGCAGGACCCGCGTCCTGTCGAGGATGTGGATGTGGATTTTGGGAGGGTGGTGGGGCAAGGACAGGATCCAGGACAAACCTACTGGCAATTCGATTAGGCCCGCCGTCCGTAGAGCAGACAAATGATTACATTTACAACCTTGACGCTGCAGGAGATTCTATTACGGAGCAAAACGGCATGGGAATGGGAAAAGTAGTGGGGGTGGGAATGGGTAGTCAGGGAGTCGGTAGTCGGAACGGGATATGATTCGATTTGATTGCTATCACAAAGGGCGACAAATAGCTGGCGCACACAAACACAAATTTATCACTGCATAGTCACGTGTGTTTATGTGGGTGAACTCCTGTTCCTGTTCCAGTTCCTCTTCCTGTTCCTTTTCCCCTTCCTGATCCTGTGTTAGAGACTCCATCCCATTCCCGCCTAATGGAATGATTGATGGATGAGAATGAGGAAAAGCATTCGCTGGGTATGCAGACTGGGCTGCCACAAATCTGACAAGTAGCGTTAAATCTGCTCCTTAAAGACCTCAAATCCACAGTTCCAGCCTTCTCCAGAGGATTGGAAAAAAAAACACTCATTTCTGATTAATACATTTTTGCATTTCTGAAAAATGTAAGTATAACTGGCTGTTTCTAGGATTTTTGAAAAACTATGATACGGTCAGCGTTGCCAGACTGCGACCACGCTTTTACAAATTCTGCACCGATTTATGAACAAATAACAATATGCCTATATAGTAGAGAAAAAAGAGGGCTCCGATTTTGCTTTAACGTAAAACCCTTTTCACTTTTTATAACTACCAACTATGCCAATTTCCTTATTTCCCAAAATAAACTTTTAATGTTTATTCAACGAGTTGGCAGGCCATAACGCGATATTCGAATTGGAACGGCCAACCGCATGCAACCGTCTGGCAACTCTGGCCTCTGACAGCTCATTTTAGCACGTGTTGGCAGTCGTTGCAAGTTTAAAATAATACAAGCGAAAATTACTCCGTAATTCGTGTGCAAAAACGGTTGAAGGTGCTCAATATAGCCGGCCAGTGATTCGGGCCAAGGCAAAAATCCAATCAATCTGTTTTCCGCTCTGGTGAAACCGAATTTCTTTTGCAAATCGGAATTTTTCCGGCCGCGCAGCCTGTCAACGTGCGCGCATGCGCCAAGTGCTCGCTGCGAGTTTTTCCAAGAATTCGCTTGAAGAACTTTTTCCTTGGAATTTTCTAAAACAAAAAGGCAATCAGAAATGGTAAGCAGTGCAAAAAGCAAATTGCTGAGACAATTTAGATAGCTTTTTGATTTTTGAAAAATATTTTACAGTCGAAGCGCATTGAATCGAATGGGATTTCCAAGAAAAAGTATAGCCTGCGCAACTGGAAGCGTATGCCTGGAAAACCCGCTCCACTGCCAGAGTCCAATACGAGTCATGAAATAATATATATTTCGGATGACGATGATTCAAATAAGCCGGGCTGCTCGCAGCAAAGTCCTCAGAAACAGCTGAATATGCCCCTGGGCCATCGCATTTATGACAATCTCAAGGAGAACGGTCAACGTCCACCGGATTTGAGTAAAAACATCCAACAGTCGGCTGGACATGACCCACATCCAGATCTCCAAACAAATCCCAGGCTGGCACACAACGCTTTCCTGGACCAATGGCGCTTCAACTGGAATCGCACCTTGAACGAGATCAAGGAGGTTGTTCTCCAGCCGAATGGAAAGCCGATCCTGTCGAACAACGCACTCCAAGAGAAACTAAATGAGCTGCCATTCTCTTCAATCTACCATGAATCGCCTTCGTGTAGCAAGGACTCTACTTTCAAAGAGAGCAACAAGGAAAACTGCCCCAATCAGGTAGATCCCATGTGGAGTTACGATTATCTAAATTTGAAGCCCCCAGAGAAGAGTGAGGCTACTAAGCTTGAAGATATCCTCTCAAGTGAGGCTAAAGAAAATCCAGAGAATCCTGTGTGGAACTTGGATGATCAGTATGTCCAGGTGGAAAATAAGGATCAGATTCCACAGGAAATTTGGCACAAGGACAATCTATGCGATCACTCCGTATCGCAATTCAAGAATCCAGAGGATTTTGCAAACCCCGAAGATTTTAAGGCCAAAATGCAACAGTGGCAGGACATCGAGGCGATTTGCATGCGATTGCGGGGCATCGAAGTGCCAGATAATGTGGGTATTGTCAAGGGTCCCGTCTCCCTCGACGATGTCTTTGAAGTTTTGGGTATTGAGGAGGAGCAGCCGCAGCCAAAAGAAGAAGAACCCATTGCCGGGGGATCCAAAGAGTGTCCAAATCAGGGAGCCGCATCCACTGATGATATGAATCCCAAGGAGGAGGAGGAGCAACCGGAGGCCTATGGCAATATCTTCGAGTATCTGGGTCTTGGGGCAGTCGTGCCACCATCACTAGTAGTCCTGACCGGAAAAGAAGACGCTTTAACCGATTGGACGGACTCGGACGACGACGACGAGGCGACCGATCGGCCAATGGATGGGATAGTTCATACGGTGGCGGAGTCTGAAGAAGAGGATGTGGACGTGGTGGACTTCATTGATGTGGAGGAGTACATTGATGTCGTTAACGTGGACAGGACGGAGGCGGAGAACTTGGAGACAGAGAACCAGAAGGCGGAGAACTTGGAGACTGAGAACCTGGAGACGGAGAACTTGGCTGACAAGGAGCAAACCGATGAGGAGGAGGAGTCCGTCAATGATTCGGGCTCCGATTGGTCTATGGAAAACGAGGATGCGGGGTCGGACTCGGAATCCGACGGGGAATAATCAACTATGTTTCTGTATATTTTGATTTCCGTATTTCCCAAAAATACCTAAATAAAAGTTCGATGTTAGCCTTTGGGAAACTAAAGTTTGCTTTATGAAAAATGTGGTATAATTGATGGATTTTTATAGAAAATAATTGAAACGAAATTCCTTTTTTAAAATAAGTCAGTTTTGGTGCCAAATAATATAATAATATTTAGTGTTAATAAAATAAAGACAACAAAATAAAATTAGATTTTTTTATTATTAATGAGAAGGCAAATTTTAGGTGTAATCGTTGGATTAACTAGCAGAGTTTGGGTTATATTGTTTGTTTCAAAATTATAAAATATTTCGATTTTGAGCATAAAAATAGAGGTTCTTCTTTTTCGTTGGGACTCGATACCTTTAACTATATCAGCTTAAAATGTTTTTATAAATATCTCCGCAGGACATACCGCTGCACGTGGCCATGATCTCGCACATCCTGATCGCCTGGGACCGGATGCGTTGGCTAAACGATCCGCTGAAGGCCCGCCTGCCGGGATTCGTCTGCTGCTGCGCCACCTGGCTGACCGGAATGGTGATTGCCCTGCCCTACCCCATCTACACCAACTACGTGGAGCTGGGGGTGAGTACTGAGCTTACGGAGCACTTGTTACTTTATTAAAAATAAGAATCAAAATGAAAATAAGCGAAATAAGCGAGCACAGCAGCCTGGTTGCCAGGAGGGCTGATCAAAAGGCTCAAAGCGAAGCGCACTAGACCGGAAAAGCGGCGCGGAATCTCCCATATGGCATTCCGTATGAGCATCGAGTGACAGATTCCCGGGAATCGGGGCCTGGGCCTCCACTCACCTGGCTGGGCTGTGACTCTGAAATCTGGCAAATGTGAAAGGGGCCTCAGTTTCCCCGTTTCCCCGTTTCCCATTTCTAGATCAAGTTCCTCGCCCAAGTTTCGTTAACATCGCCTGTCAACGGGCTTCTCTGCCTGCATTTTGCTGCCAAAATATTTGACTTCCCCCTGGCCTCCCCCTCTTAAGTTCGACCACAACAGCAACAAGAGACATAAATATTTATGGGCCATAAAGTGTTGCAACTTTCTGATACACTCCTTCGCCTCTTTGTCACCTCTTTGGGTGTGGACCATGTGGCTGTGGGTGGTCCATGTTCCTTTTCTGGGCTGGCATTGTGTCAAATCATCACTTGCATATATGTATGGCATTCCCCCACTTACCACCCCCCTTACAGACTGCATATTTTGTGAACAGAATTTACCGAAAGTGAGCCAGGAAATGCCGGAAAAGCCACCCTCTAAAATCAGGCATCAAATTCTTGTTTTTAGATAGTTTCATTCCGGTTTGAATTGCTTGCATATAAATTGGTATTTGAGATTTAGTTTTTATTTATAAAAGAGTGAGTAAATACTTCCATTTTATGAGATCCTACTAATATACTTCATATGTTGCATATATTTTATCAAAACTTGGTTTTTGCTTTGCAGAGTTTGTAAGCTTCCTTTAGAGAATGTATTTTAAGTATTTTATTTATTTAAGAATGCATTTTTTATTTATTTAATATTTTGATCTATTTTATAAAAAATTAACTCCTTTGTGTTAAAGCTTATCTAAGTTTGTAAACTTTTTGGATTGACAAAGTTATAACAAACACTTAACACCCATTACTATAGTACTTTTCGATTTTTAGTACTTATTTATTGTAAAATAATGAATATTTACTATATTGTAAACTTTTTTTTAGAGAATGACAGAGTTATAAAAGAAACAGTTAATTCCCAATATTACACCATTATTTTATCGTTCATTTAAGACTTTATATGTCAACTTCTTAACGCCTATCAAGTTCCAATATTCGACTCTCCTCTCATTTATTTGGTGTCATGAATTACCAAGTATTATTATGCTTATTTATGGCTGTGAATCCTCCGTTCCATTAGGCCGTTTCGATCGTTTCTGCAAGTGGTTACCCGAACCTTTGAACTGTGGCCCACATTCCCATGAGTTGATTGAACCTTTGCAGGCAATTTTGTGTAATTTATTTGGCAATTCACTGACCACAAAAACCTGTCACTGCGAGTGGGGCAACAAGTGGAGCACTCCTGCCGGGTGGGTTATCCTCCAGAGGACCGGCTTCCAAATACCGAAATATATACCATACCTTCATACGTACGTAGGCCCAGTCGCCTGTCAATAATTTCATTAATTCAATATTTGCGTATAATTTGATGGCTCCTCTCCAAGGCAACTCGCTGGTTGGAAACTCCCTGGCGAAGCGGGGCTTATTATCTCAAAAGGGGGCCCGCCTGTTTGTCTGCTGTCTCCGCTGACACGCCCCCTAAGCCCCCGCCCTCTGTTTGCCCCAATTTATGAATATTTTAGCATTCTATTACGGCGACACAGGAGCTTGTCTGGCCACCCCCCGAAAAAAAAGAAGAGAAAATATGGGTGTATAAACAATTCCATGTGGACTCTGATTGCCAATTCACAATTTGGCAAACAATCCTCCACCTCGGTGGACGCTTCTCCGTTTAATAAGCAAAAGTTTCCCATAGTTTTCAGCCCAAAAAAAATGGAAAACCCATCCTCACGCAGCAGCCAAAAGTCAAACACTAAAATGAATTGCTCCGCCGGCCAGGTTCCAGGTTCAGATGAGTTCAGTTGGGTTGCCTCCGATTTTCCGATTTTCCGACTTTGCGATTTTCAGATTTCCACATTTTCAGGTGCGGGTAATAAGCGATTTCATAACTGGCCGGCCAGCGAAAAGTTTTCCGTTTGTTTTTGTGTGTTTGGCCTGGAAAAGTGTCAGAAACTTTTTCCACACAAAACAAATTGAAAATTTTCCATATACCTACGCATGCCCCTCGTGTCTACCTTTGGCTACCTGGTTTCCCTTTGTGCGGCGGCAAATTGATTTTTTAAGTTGTGTGTCCCCAAAAAACAAATCGGTATGGAAAAATACAGAAGTCCCTTTACCTTTACCTCCATCAAGTTGGAGGTCCTGTCGCCTGCTCCTACCGCTCACTGCGCCAACGAAGGACCATAAGGAATGGGAAGGGTCATAGGTCATTTCACGTTACCAACTTATCTGCTCAGTGGTTACTCACATAATCCATAGTAGTTTGTAGTTGATTTATGCCTCATGACGTGCGATTTTCGAACTCAATGAGCTGAGGAATACTCCTGATCCATTGTTATGGATTTGTCTTTAAATTTAAATTGAAATTTATGCAAATCTGTTGACTTTTTAATCGGTTTTTCTTCTTTTGCAATTTGAAATGTTTATCTATCTCTGTAATGCTCATCTGAAACTTCTATACCCATTAAATCGTAAAGGCAAAGGTAGAAGTATATATATTCTTGAACAGGATCACTATCACTAGTCAATCGTTCCTTTGTGTGATCAGTTTAAAATCCAATTGAATTTGTGACAATCCCATACTATTCATATATATTTTCTTTCTTAAAATTTTAAATATACATTTAGGGCCGTTTTCTTGTCCGTATGTTAAATTTAAAGTAAGGTTAAAACCTTAAAATCGTATGGGAGAGAGAGATTTTCAACCCTTCTTTAAATTTAACAGGCGGACGAGAAAACGGCTCTTAGAATGAGTAAAGGTAAAACTTTGGACACGTAAGCTGCATAAAATAAATGAATTTCGAGTATTTTAAACAGCCTCCAATTTGTTATATGTTATGGAAAGTTAAAGTGGCCACTCGGATTACAACTTGAGAATCTCTGGGGACATTGATGACAAGGTTTTGCTGCAGTTTAGAGTTGGTACATTTTAAGTTTGTTTTCCTAGCCGTTCGTTATGTATATTTTCGTACAGCTTTGCGAGGCGAGTCCTTTGAGAGGACTGTGAGGGGATTGTGATTGGCGTAGGAGAAAGTTGAGTGCCCCTAAGTTGCCTTCCCCTTCAACTGGCTTAAAACGTTGTGTATGCAAAGAACACGCCTTTGTTTCGTCCCGCCCAAGCCCCTACTTTCCCCTCTACTGTCTATTTGGCCCGCTCTGCGGCTACAGTTTATTTATGTTTACTGTTCAGTTGTTGCTGCCCCATCCCATCCCGCTGCCTCGTTGCGGATATCCGGTTGCCGGCGTTGACTTTGGCACGCGGCGTCTCCTAATCCCCCCCAGCTACTCAGCTACCAACCCACCTACCACCTACAAAACCCCCCTTTTGGTATTACCAACAGAACTTGCCCGGATATGCGCCTGCAAAACGAAAACGAAATTACGCCAAGGGGCTAAGGGGCAGAAAATTCAAGTCACTGCGCAAAAGAAACGGCTAAAGTAAACATTATCAAGTCTACAAAGGATTTCGGGCGGAATTGGGCTAGGACCAGCCAGGAGCTAGGGATAAGACTCTCAATAGATTCCCTCGACCAAAAACGAAACGATTATGGGATAGTTAAGATCAAAGACATTATTCCTTGAATGGCCATCTCTCAATTTTCGAAAATTTATTTATTTATATTATTTGAAATTTTTCAGAAGGCTATTTAAAAATATTTTTAATTTTCCTACAATTTGGAATATTTATTTTAAATGTTTTACATTTTATTTATTATTATTTAAATTTCTTAATAAGAAAGATATTTAACTTGGTTTCAAAAGACTTTTTGAAAACTACTTTTTAATATCTGAAGTATTTATCTTTTTATTTTAATTTAGGATTTAAAATATGATGCCCTTACTTCTCAAAAATAAGTTAAATTTTTAGAAAAAAAATATCTTTGGATGTTACATAAAACGTTTCCATCCAGAATCTAGGATCTAGGGTCCTGGGAAACAAGGGCATTCGGAAGTTTATGGCTCTGCTCTCGCCCTCTTGCCATTTGCCATTTTATCTGGCGCAGAAAGAAAAGAAACTTTAAATACAATCAACTGGCCCCATTTGCCTTGGCTTGGGGCTCGTTGTAACAATTTGTAAAAATTACACATGCACACAGTCTCGCCCACACTGAGAGAAATGGGGGAAGGAGGGGAATAAAGGGGGGCTGTAAGGCTCAAAAAAGACTTCCGCTTGAAGCGGAAATCAAATGTTTATTTGGTCTGGGCTGGATTGGCTTGGTCCACCATTGGGTCTTCGTTCTCATCTTCGTCATTATTGCACATTATGACTGTAACTTTGTTAGTAGGGGGAGGCATTATCCCTTTGCCAGGACTTAGAATCCTTGGCTGCGTGTGTGGGGCTTATTAAATTGCCATTTCCCAGGTCCAAGTGCAAGTCAAATGCAAATTGCTCCATTGTCAGTGCAAATTAGTTGATGTGTCCTGGGATCGAAGGATTGCCATCCCCCAATGGCAGTCCCGCATCTCTATATATACTCCATATATATACTCTACATGCATTGGGTAATTTCAAAGTTTATCAGCAAATGGAAGCTACAAAACTGTGACACTTCAACATCCATCAATCCATCATTTTACACATGTTGTGTGTGAAGGACTCGTCAAGGACTCGACACTGACCGCAAGTTACCGAGAAATTCGCACTCGACAGACTGCAGTTATGAGATTGTCCTTGAATTCCTAGATTTTCTGCCAAATAAGGATAATTTCTAGGTAAAGATAAATTAGCTGCATGATCGGAAATATGTAGGGAAAT